TGTCAAGCTCAGACTGAACTAAGGGGGTGTGCAGGGGCAAAAGAGCAGCACCTGGAGGAAGGAAGAGATGCCAAGAGTGGGGCCTAGAGAGCCTTTGTCTGGCTGGGCACTTCTCCCCCCTCCTCTTCCCATTGTTCTTATTTGTTGGGGTCTGAGAGACCTAGAAGCTTCCCAGGCTTGGGAGGGGTTAGTGTGTGAGGGTACACCTTCTTTTGTAGCCACCCCTAGCTGAAGCTGCTTGGTGGAAACAAAATGCTCCCAGCACTGCTGCCCAGCCCCCACCTCCTCTGAGTCTCTGGCAGCTGGGCTCCCCCTGGTGGTATTGGGGCCTGAGACCTTGGTGCTGCAGAGGAGGGAGGGGCAGGGTAATGGGAGCTGGGAACTGCAGGCCAGAGACGTGGCACCTTCTGGGGTGGGTGAGAGTGGGAGGTGGTATCTGGCTGCCTTTGGGGTGGGTTTCCTAGCACTGCCTCAAATGCTTCACTAGGGTGGACACTGGGTTTGTGGCAGTATGGGCGGGCCTGGTGCTGTGGGTTTGAGCTGGACTGCTGCCCAAGTCTCACAAACAGCAGTGGGTGGCCCCCACTGTGGTCCCAGACACTCTGATGAGAATTTGCCCTCGGGCCTGCCACATCAGCTGGCTGCTCCCTGAGTCCCATGTGTTCTAGGGGAGCCCACTGGCATGGGGGCACTCTGCAGGGAGGGCTTTTATATCCAGCCTGCCCAGCCTTCTAAGTTATGGAGTCAGTGAGCAGTGTTTGGGTAAGAAGGAGGTCCCAGCTATGTAGAGCTGTATGGAAGGAAAGAGACAAATACAGGCCAAAAAGTCAGCAGAGGACTAAGTGGCTCTGACTCCTGACCCCAGGCCCAGCAAGGAACCACTACAGTCTGAGTGGCTTGTTAGCCACTGTTCATTGTTCTTCACCTGAAATGCTTCAGAAACTCCACTTTAAATGAGATGGCCACAGCCTCCCAATCTGCTAGGTGTGGTTGCTGTGGTCTGCAGGAAGTGAGATGTTTGGGATAATATGTGTTCTTTCTTTTTTAAAACTTTTTATTGTATGTATTCTTTCAAGGAGTCATTAAGTCATGCTGTTGGATAAGCACTGGACTAGTCAGCACTGGACTATTAACCGCCAGGTTGGCTGTTCATACCTACCAGCTGCTCCTGGGAAACCCTATACAGGGTTGCTATGAGTTGGAAGTGACTTGAAGGCATGTAACCAACAACAACATTCTTTAGAAGTGTAGAAAAATAGTGGTAATAGCTTTTATTTGAATACTTCACATGGGCCTGGAGCCAGAAGGAGAAATTCTCACCTGTGTCCCAGAAGGAGATAACAGAGATGTCCCATTTCACAGATGAGGTACCAGGGTGGAGTACCAGGAAGTGGCCAAAGCTCTCAGAGATGGCAGAAAGGACCAGGGCATGGGCAACCAGACTGTGGGAGGTCTGAGTCTTCCTGGAGGAGAGATCTGAATGTGAAAGATGAGCTGGCTGACCACAAGGGGTTTGCTGAGCTCCAGCCTGGCAGCTTGTGCAGAGAGGAGACTGAGACCCGAAAGGACAGCAGCATTTCCGGGTCTCGCTGTAAGACAAAGCCTAATCTGGGAAGGAGAGGATTCAAGAGGGATTGCTCAGCAATGTCTTGAATGTTGGGACTGAGGAAAAGGTCAAGCAGTAGAACCTGTGGCCCCTTGTCTCCCAACTACAGAGTATTTGTGGCCTTGTTCCACTGGAGCTCAGCACTCCTGGGGTGGAAGCAGATGTTGTAGCACAGAGCATCAGCTGCCAGCCAGCAGATTACAGCCATTACTGCCTGCCTGGTGTGGGCCCATCAGCTGCCCTGCAGAGCAAGGGCTGCAGAGATTTCTTCCTTGATGGAGAGAGGTGTGATTGTGGTCATGTGCAGATCAATCCAGAGAGCTTTTGTGGCTTCTCTGCTCCGAGAGAGTTGGGGATGAAACACCTGGTGAACCCCACTGCCTCCTACTGACCGAGTACCTCTATCCAGCGCCTTTGCAGCAATCCAAAGCCAATTGGCAAAGCTGGGTGCAGGGAGCTGGGTGAACCCTGAACTACTGCCAGCTGCTCTGGTAGAGGCCCCAATGGAAGAGGGGACCAGCTGGAGAAGTGAATAGTGAGGTTGTCCCACAGTCCCAAGGGCACCCCGCCTTTCCTATTCTACTCTACCCAGGCATGATGTGGAGGCCTTGCCAGACTCTGCCCCCTAGTCCCCAGCTTATACCTCTGACTCTTCCTGGTGTTCCAGGCTAGGCTAGGCGTGCTTCCTGCCTAGCTGTCAGCACCACACCCTTGTTCTGCCACTCACTGAATCATAGTTGCTGGAAGAACAAAGGGACCACTCTGAGCCCAGAGATGGAGACTCCTTGGTTTGCCAGCCTGTCAAGTGGGGCTCTTTCCACAGTGACTCCAGCATTTTAACTCTCAGAACATGAGAGGTTTTAGGAGAGAAGACCAACCCAGTGAGAACAAGGAGTTACAAAGAAACAAGTGTCTTGGGCCCCAGCCCAGCTTGCTCAGGTACTGCCCGCCTTGGTGTCTGTCAGGTCTACTGCTGCTAGGAAAATCATATGCAAAGCAAGCATGCACCATCATACCCATCCCTGGGCAGGAATGCAGGGTGATCATAGTGCCAGATACCCTCTCCACCTTGCATGGCCATACCAGGGAGACTGATGTCTCAGGTTGACAAGGATCTAACAGCTACACAAGAATCCCACCTTAGACTTCAGCTCTGCTATACTCTGGGCAGCATCCCTTTCTGATTCTAACTGAGGATGGCATGGTTAGACCCAGCACTTTGAGTCCTTAGCTCCCCTTTCCTCTCCCTGACACTCTCATCCCTTGTTTGTTGTCTGCTCCTGGATGTGCTCCCTTTCTTCTCCTTTGTTGGGAGCAAAAAGTGACAAGACCAGCAGGTGGTTCCACAGCCTTTGGGTTCAGTCAGGCTATTGCTGCCCTTCTCTTGTCTTCCTTGCCCAGCCTCAGTGGATATTTTGGGCTCAGTTGATGGGCCCCATAGAGCAATAAGTTAAGCACTGGTCAGCACTTCAGCTCCACCAGCCACTCTGTGGGAGAAAGATGGGGTTGTCTTTTCCCATAAAAGTTTGAGCCACAAGAGTGGCAATTCAAACTCACCGGCTGCTCGTTGGAAATCCTATACAGGGTCGCTGTAAGTCAGAACTGAACGACAATAACAACAAGGGGCTTGGAGCAGGCAGGCAGGCAGGGGTCTTGGTGAGGTCTGCCACCCTGTCCTGGTGTCTGCTGCTGTTTGGAAAGCACTGCAGAGGCTGGGACAAGAGGCCTTCCAGGAAGGAAGGAGTAAACCCAGTGACAAGTCCCAAGGACTCTGTGGCCCAGCCACAGCACAGGACACCTTGGACTGCTCTAGGTGGTACTGCATGGAAGTCAAGGTGGGCCATCCATAGAGGAAATTTTCACTATGTGACCTCAGCCTTTCCATGCCTCAGTCTCCTCACGAGTTAGTTGAGGCTGAGAACAGAACCAACCTCTTAGATGATTGCTGTAAACATGAACTGACTGTGGATGTGATAGATAGGTGTAGAACAGCTTCTGGTCTCTAGTGGGCGCTATGCACAGTTTTACTGTTATTATTTCTGCTGATGTTATTGTTCCTGCTCGTGTTAGTTACTTTGTTAGCCTCTTCATCCTTTGAGATTGTCTAGATTAGCTCTGAGGGGCACTGGGCAGGACCAGGGTCCCCAAGTGTGACCCTGCTCGTTCTGCTTACCCACGTGCTGAGGGACAGACTTGTCATAGTGGTGGGTTGAGTTGCTCAGAGAGACCCTTGTGATTGGGGTGGGCATGCTCAGGAAAGGGAACAGCGTGGGCAAGGCCTGGAGGTGGCAAAAGGCAGTACTTGCAGGTAAAGGTGCGACTGGAGGTGCTGGGGCAGAACAAGGGAAACAGCGAGGGCAAAGGCTGGAGTATCCCCACCCCACACATCTTGCAGGCTAGGGAGATGGAGCTCTCCTGGTCTTCTCCTTCCCTGTACAGGATCCCTGGGGAATGCAGTTTCCTGAGCTGCACTCAAAGATCTGGCTGTTTGGGGTGGTACATGCAAATCGGCTTTTTAACACCAAGGTCATCATCCTGTAGGATCTGAGCCACATTTTGAGACGGGTTGGGCGGTACCCACATGTCCTCCTACACTACTGAATTCTAGTTGTGTGATCTTGGGCCAAGGCATGATATTTGTGAACTTGAGTGTGCTGTCTATAAAATGGGTACAGAAACAGTATCTGCTTGTAGGGTGACTATGACAATCACAGAAGAGAATGCAGCACTGGACAAGGAAAAATATGGATGGGGGACTCTGCCAGACGAGGATGAAGGGTACAAGAGCAACGCCTGAAATGGCTTGAGTCTACATAGGGTTGAGGTGGTGTATGTGTATTCATGTGACATTGTTTATCTCTTAGTTCCTAGTCGATGTCTGCTCTAGGCAGACCTGGGCCCAGTCCCTGGCTGCCAGGATATACATGAGGGTTGTCTGGGCCTTGGGCCATGTGTTGGAGGCAAGAGTCTGATGCTGGACTTCAATCTAGAATGCAGGGAGGAGGGGGCTGCTGCCCTGCTGCAGTATGCAGGGCCCTTTCCCAGCAGCTCTGTACCCAGGCACTACTGTGGCCAGCATGCTGTGGGAGTAGCAGGGTAACTCCTGTGGAACTGGCCTCAAGTCTCTGGCCAAGGCTTCTGAACTCAGCTGGGCAGTGGAGCTTGCGGAAGGCCGACACCTGGAAAGAGTTTATCATAGGGTCCAGGTGGTCCAGGTTGTATTGACCACAATACCTTGCTAGCCACAACCCTAGTAGCCTCATTACCCATTAGACCAACTGCCTCTATCTCACGGTGCCACTGATGGGGAGGGTGAGTTCTGTCTCCCGTGCTATTGGCTGGACTACTGGTTGTACTGGGCCTGCTTCCTGACTGCCTATGTCCTCTGTTCCAGGTGCTGGGGAGTCAGGAAAGAGTACCATCGTCAAGCAGATGAAGTAAGTACTGTGCATGGGAGTCATCCCCTAGACCTTGCTTGATTCCCTGTTCTCCCATTCTCCAGCAGGTAGACTTGGCTGCCTCCAGTTATGGCTCAGCCAGTCTTGGTCAGGACCTCTTCAGAGGCAGTCATCCACCCTCAGGTCTCAGTGGTTCAGGGGTAGTTAGTTTTCCCTCTGCAGCAATTCCTTACAGACCTCAGCAACCCCAGTTGACCATGGGGGGGTCCCTGCACCTTGTGAATTCTAATTCATAACCTCTGGCTGCCAGGATCATCCACGAGGATGGCTACTCAGAGGAGGAATGCCGGCAGTACCGGGCAGTTGTCTACAGTAACACCATTCAGTCCATCATGGCCATCGTCAAGGCCATGGGCAACCTGCAGATTGACTTTGCCGACCCCTCCCGAGCGGTATGTGGACTCTCCCAATTTCCAAAAGGCTCCATAGCAAGGCTTATCTTGAAGGACTGGGGAATACCCCAGCCTGGGCCCCATTCCAGAGCTTTCCGTGGCAGGCGGGGTTGGGAGTATGCTCCTGTGGCTGGCTGACCACTTACCTGCTGTTCTCAGGATGATGCCAGGCAGTTGTTTGCACTGTCTTGCACAGCCGAGGAGCAGGGCATGCTCCCGGAGGACCTGTCCGGCGTCATCCGGAGGCTCTGGGCTGACCATGGTGTGCAGTCCTGCTTTGGCCGCTCGAGGGAGTACCAGCTCAATGACTCGGCTGCCTAGTGAGTGTCCAGGGGCCGGGGGCAAGGAGGGAGGTGGTGTTTCCACAGAAAGATCTTGCTGCTTTATGAAGTCAATAGTGATCAGCCTTGGGGTTTTTTGTTTGTTTTTTAATGTTTTATTGTAAATTGAGTCAAGGTTTACAGAACAGATCACCAGTTTACACTCAACAAATCATATATACTTTATCTCAGTAATTTCAGTCTCTTTCCCTGAGGTTCTTAATTTCATTCCATCCTCCTTCCCAGCCCTTCTAAACTTTGTCCTTAGGTAAATGTTGTCCTTTTGATCTTGAATAGTTGACCATTCCATGATGAGCAGAAGCCTTAGTAGTTTTTGGTCGAGAGTGGGTGGCTTGTGCTCCTTATCCCCTGCAAGCCAGTTGAGTCTGATCTGTGCCTAGAGGCAGTCATTCTAGAGGGCATTTGCTTACTCCACCTGCTGGGTACCAGACCCTGTGCAAGGCTCTAGGGACACAGCAATAAGTGGAGCAGACAGGTTCCCAAGCAGGAGCTCTGAGCAGGAGAGGCTTTCAGGCAGGGGCGCACCACACAGAATCCTGGGGAGAGGGCTGGAAAGCACACAGGTGGGAGAGGCTGTCTGGGAGGTGACAGATGTACATGTAGATCGGAGGTGTAGACTCAGTTGGGCAATCACAAAGGGTTTCAGAGGCATGACAGGCTGAGCCATTTGGGTCCAACCCACAGAATTATGTTCAGAACTTGCCTTTAGTCCCTGCCATGACCCAGGCCTGGTTGGTGCAGGATGTTGACAACCTTCACTGATTACAGGACAGGCTGGTGGCCTGGGTCAATGGCCACATAGCTTTGGATGGTGACACCCAGGTAGACTGCCATCCCTGGACTCTAACCTTCCTCTCCTTAAGTCAGTCTCTCTGTCTGGAACACCTTTCTTGCTCCTACTGCCCATCCAAATCCGAGCTGGACTGTGTTGAGAGTGGGTAGGAGGAGGATCTTGCCTGGCCGTAATTCCTGATTGCCGCCCAATCATATGGACATGGCCCTCCGCTCCCCCCAGAGGCTGAGCTAAGCCTCCCCTGTTCTCTCTGTGTGGCCTGTGTCCCATGGTGAGAGTTTACACTTTATGGGAACTGCTGAAACAAAACCACATGTGGGGCCTCCCTCACATTAAAGAGACTCAGCCACTGAGTCCTAGAGGCAGGGAAGGGCAGTGGGTCCCACCAACCATCATTGTCATTGTTCCCTTAGTGCCTAGGCTACAGTGTCCCCAAAGGATGGTGACAGAGCACTCCCAGGCCACTAAGTTCTTCATTTATTAAGTACCTTCTGTATGCTCAGCACTCTTCAGGACTTAGGAGCGAACACTGACCTTGATCTCTGAGGCAAGTTTGTGCATACACAAGATCATCTGGGGTAAGGAGGAGATTGGAACCCTGTAGGGAGAAGGGATACTCAGTCCCTCTTCACAGTAGTTCTCCAAGGATGCAGTGGGCAGGGGGGCCCTGAGGCAAGCCTGCCTGCTTGTGAGAAGAGGGAGGATGATGAACCTAGTAGCCACCAAGGTGGCAGGACACAGTATGCAGGTCACAGCACATGCGTCATGGTCCCCCATGGCCCTTCCTGTTTTTCTGTTCTGTCCCTGTGCCTCTGAGGTAATTTCCTTCTGGCCTGGCTTGTTGCTGGTAGAGCCAAGGGCTGGCCTCAGCAGCCCTGCCCCCTTAGGATGGTGATCTCTGCACAGAACAATGGCTGGAGACCTCAATCCAGCCCCCAGGGCACAAGCCAGTATCTTGAAGGAGGGTCCCTGGGCCCAGTAGGAGCAGCACTAATGCTAATTAAGGGAGCTGGTAATGGGGGGCCCCAGGGACTCCCGCCAAGCAGGTGTTGATGCCCTATGGAACCCAAATTTTATTGGGTGCTGGGCAGGGAGCCCACTGGACCTGGCAGGTCCCAACTCATCCAGTGCCATGTCAAGGGACTGTGCCAGGCTGCTCTGTCTGCATTGGGTGCCGTAATTACACTGATTAGCATTCCAAATCCCTCATTGAGCTAATTTGTAGGCTTCCCCCCCCCCCGCCACGCACACACTCTTGCTTGTAGCTCTGCCACTCTGGATTCTGTCTGAGACAGGCCTGGCTCAGCCCCTGGGTATTGTGGGCTGCCTGGCCACAGAGCCACACCTCCTTATAGGCCAGGTAGCCCCCAGTGCCCAGGGGCTGAGCCAGGGCATTGCATATATAAAAATTTTTTTAATTTTCTGCCAAATTTTATAATTTGTGGGCCATACAAAATTATCAAGTTAAAAATTATTCTGCTGTATTTGGTCAAACATTTCATTAACTCACCCCCTAATATGATAGTGTGGCACTGCCAGACAATGCGCTGAATCATAGGTCAGTTTGAGCTGCTAGTCGGCAGTTCAAACCCACCAGCCACTTCTTGGAAACCCTGTACAGGGTTTTTATGAGTCGGAACCGACTCAACGGCACTTAACAATGTGATGGCTGGAATTAATTTCATGGAACTTACATGGCCTGAGGACCAGACATTCCTCACCCCTGTACTAGGCCCATTCCACAGGTTTCCTCACTGGAAATCAGGGCACTGCCTAGAAAATGGGATAGGAGGGAAAAGTCTTTGTCCAGTTTGCCTGAGATCCAGGTAAGAACAACCTCCACTGACCTGCCTACCCCCTTCCCCCCCTCCACCTCCACCCCAGCTACCTGAACGACCTGGAGCGAATCGCACAGAATGACTACATCCCCACCCAACAGGATGTGCTGCGGACCCGGGTGAAGACCACGGGTATTGTGGAAACGCACTTCACCTTCAAGGACCTACACTTCAAGTGAGGGGGCATCGGGTCTGGGTCCAGGGTGAAGGCATAGTTCAGGACTACCAACCTTTGGGTTGAGAGAGGGAGGGGCCTCATTCCAGAGTGTGCTGGTGGCTGTGTTGGGAAGAAGGAGCTCATCTAGGATCCTTCAGCCCCACTTGGATTTCTGAAAGGCTATGTGGTTGCTAGCAGCTGATTCTAGGAAACATGTTCTTACCACCTAGTGGCCAGGATCTATACCTTCCCTGCCAGCAGGTCATGGGCTTCTGACCACATCTTTGATCCTGCAGGCCCAAAACTAGGGGTGAGGTCGGCAAACGTAGACAATTCCATGGAGATAGCTGCCCTATTCTAAGCAGGCCTCTGACTGCTGTGTGCCATCCTGTTAAATGGGTCAGGCATTCTCCTCTAGTGCTCCCTTCCATAGAACTCAGGCAACCCCATGTCCACAGGATGTTTGATGTGGGTGGTCAGCGGTCTGAACGGAAAAAGTGGATCCACTGCTTTGAAGGTGTCACAGCCATCATCTTCTGCGTGGCCTTGAGTGCCTATGACCTGGTGCTGGCTGAGGATGAGGAGATGGTGAGGGACTTCTGGGTTCTGGGTGAGATGTGAGGGGCCAGGTGGGGCAGTGGCTGGTGCTCACACCCTGCCCTGCCCCCAGAACCGCATGCATGAAAGCATGAAGCTGTTTGACAGCATCTGCAACAACAAGTGGTTCACGGACACATCCATCATCCTCTTCCTCAACAAGAAGGACCTGTTCGAGGAGAAGATCACACACAGCCCCCTGACCATCTGCTTTCCTGAGTACACAGGTGTGGGGGCGGGACCTCGGGCTGGGCAGGGCCTATTCCTAGAAAGGCAGTGGTGGCAGGTGGTTCTTGGGCGCCCCCTGCTGGTCAGAAGGGTAACTGTGAGATGCTCTTGCAGAAGCTGCAGCATCTGTTGCTGTGCACCATCATTCACACCTTTAGGGCTTATTACTTGCTCTTGGGCTCATGACACACTCAAATGTGTACCCTTGTACATATGCACATGGGGATTCTTCACTCACTCAGGCCCATTTGTACACTCCCATTGTCATTCTGTGCACACTATATGCTTGTCTGTTCACATAGAACTTTGTTGTACATGTAGGATAGGGGTCTGCCTGTCACATGTGAAGTACATGTCTTTGCCATCATGTCCCACAGGGGCCAACAAGTACGACGAGGCAGCCAGCTACATCCAGAGCAAGTTTGAGGACCTGAACAAGCGCAAAGACACCAAGGAGATCTACACACACTTCACATGTGCAACCGACACCAAGAATGTGCAGTTTGTGTTTGATGCTGTCACCGATGTCATCATCAAGAACAACCTGAAGGACTGCGGCCTCTTCTGAGGGGCAGCAGGGCTTGGCAGGATGGTGAGCCAGTGGGGAGGAAGGGTGTCAGGCTGAGGATGGACCAAAGTGGGAAACAACAGTGAGTCCAGAGGGAACAGGGCGGGAGAAAGAAGAGGGACTAGGTGACGGTGGTGAGCATGTAGTTGGGCACAGCAGGAGAGCAGAAAGCGAGGAGAAAGGAGCCCAGGGTGGCAAGTAGAAGGCACTAAAGAGGTACGCTAGGTCAGTCTGGATCAGTTCTGTCATGTGGTCCAGACAAAAAAGTGCCTGGATGTGTCATGGGACTGGACTAGAGAGAGGGCTGTTCCAACCTTCTTCAGAGAAACTCTTCTCTTTTACCCACCGACCATGTACTTAACCTGAAGTAAACTAAAGCTACAAGCCTGATTGGCTGGGTGCTTATTCTGAACTACCTTTTCTGGCCCCACTGGCCTTGACAGAGATGGGAGTGCTGGACTCGCCTCCTCCATGTACCCAGCAATAGAAACTTGTACTTTTGTAGCTGTGTCCCTGATAAAATGGGTAGGTAGGGAAGAGGAGAGGGGTCATTGTTTAGGCAGGCTAGCAAGGGAGGAGAGGCCAACTACACTAGCTACCCCACACCCACACCCTGACTGTCCCCCTACCTGCAGGACCACCGCCGACTCTGCTCCCCCTAACCTGAGGAAGATGGGGGAAAGAGGACCACGCTCCCCACCTGGCCCCCTGACCGCTTCTCCCTTCTTTCCTGTCTCTGCTCTTGGCTCCCCCAACCCCTCTTCTCTAAAGATTTGGGGGAGAGGTTTGTCACAGGCCTCCCGATTTGAAGCCTGCCCTTAGCTGAGGTGCCTGGAATGGCCCCGGTACCTCCTTCCTGGGCATTTGTTCTGATTTTTACCCATTGTCTTATTCTGTGATTGGGGTGGGGTGGGGGATGGGTGGGGGATGGGGCAGCAGGGGAAGCCCACGCTTGAGTCTCTAAGGCCTATGGTTGGAGAGACCTACTTCTCCAACCTGGGACTCCTGGCTTCACCTTATTAATACCAGCCCCCAACCCAGCTCAAGTCCACATGTTTACAGGGAGCCTCCTACTTTCCCCACTGCAGTCCTCCTACTCTAACCCTACTGCTTGGAGGCCCCAAAGGAAAAAGCACAAAAATCGTGAGATCCCACCATTCCTGGAGACCACAGTCCACCTGCTCCTTCTCGTAGCTTTTTAAAAAAAAGAAAAGGGAAAAAAAAAAAGTAGAAAACTTTTTAGAGAAAAACTATTTAAAACTGTCAGGTCTTGACCAGCTCCTACCCACTCCCATGCCCTCCAGTGATTCCGTGCCTTGAGTGTGTCTGTGTGTTTACACCCACCCCTCCGCTGGCTTTCCCCGTATGGGGACAGCACTGTTGCCCTGCCCTCCACAGAATAGGGTTTCAAGGGCTGTTCCAGACAACTGCCAACATCACTGGGGGCTCCACCCAGTGGCCCTGGGCCCTGGCTCCATTACCCTAAATGTAGCTCCTTAGCGCTAACCTAGGAACCACTGCTGCCTGCTGAGGGGCCAGGCCCCTCGTGCCCTCTCCCCAGGCCTGAGTCCTTCAGCATTGAACACTTCCTTGCTTTTTTCACATGTTTTATGGAACTGTTCACCTGGTTTGAAATAATAAAATGTAGAAAGAAAGAAAGAAAAAAAAATTCCATGTACTGCTTTGTGTTCTTTCCTGAGGCAGAGACTGGCCCTAAGATGTGCTAAGGTGATCTGAAACCTCACCTATGGCAGGGCCCAGTGCACTGAGCTTCCATTCTCCCATTTCGAGTGGGCAGTTTACATGCTGGGACCTGTGTCTCAACCCCTATATCCACCTCTTACTGCCACCTCTATAGCCTTGGGTGTGGGGCAGTCTATATAGGCCTGACTAGGGCATCTGAACACATTTTCTACAAGAGGCTGTTCTAAGAGGCACTTCCTCACTGGGAGCAGGAGGGACATTAGTATAGAAGAAACACATGACCAAAGACCCACAGCAGTGTGACTTGCTGGAGGTCACACAGTCAGAGGCTGCAGCTCCTGACACACCCTCTCCCAGAACTGGGGTTCTTTGGGCTTAATTCAACAAAAAGCTGGAGATAATGAGGATCTTTGAGTCATGTTTGGTTTCTGCTAGAGTGTTGCTCGCCAAACAGGGTCGGGGAGTGAGTATCAGACAGGTAGCCACACTTCAGCCTGTGTTAACAGGTCCAAGGGCTCTGAAGGCCAAGGGTCCCAAGAATGAGAAAGGCTATGGGAAGCGCAAATGCATTGTTAGAGAAGGAAATGGCAGGAGGCAGAGATGCCTATGGGATGGATCTGGGATGCCAGAAGAGTGCCATGGATTTTCCCACATAGGCAGTGGGGATAGCAGCAATTATGGGCCTTCTGTAGGTTAGGGGTGATGCTGCTAGTTACAAGTTCGGGTTCAAACCCATCAGCTGCTCCGTGGGAGAAAGAGGAGACAGCTTCCATAAAGATTTACAGTAGTGGAAACCCTACTTGGGTCTCTCTGTTGGAACCAACACGATGGCAGTGGATTGAGTTGGGTTTGGCCAGTGAACAGTAGTGATTTCAAGAGATCTCTAAAAGGAACGTCCTGTCCCAACTGCGGGGCTATTCTGCCTCTAACCGCCAGGGGGTGTAACAGCACGCGCTCGGGCCCCCGCCAGGCTGGTGGGGATGAGCTGACATCATCGGGTGCCTTGGAGGGGAGGCCGCGGGGCACAAAGGCAGCTTTGTAGGGCCCGCGGCAGAACAAAGCGGACTGGGCCGGGGGCGTGCCGGGTCGGCGCCACGTAGGCGAGGAGGGTAGGATGAAGGAGGGGTGGGGTCGGGGACCTGGGACACCGCCCCCGCACACCTGCCAGTCCCCTGTGGCCCGGAACCGAATGTTGGCAGAAGATGAGAGGCTGCGGCCGCACCGTCGGAAAGAGATCGACGCCCCCCCTGCTCCCGTTCCCCATTGTTCCTCGGGCCCTTCCTGCTACCCTTGTCTCCGAGGGCCGACGGGCATGAGAACAGGATTCCGCACCCAACCCAGGCTCCCCGCCTTCCTGCAGCGGCTCAGGCCCTGACGCAGACCCTGTTGAGGCCCAGATGTGCTGGAGGGTGCTCCAGTGCCTTGATGCCCGCCCAGCGGGAAGTGGGATCCGGACATGGTTCCTTCCTTCCATCCTGGGAGGGAGCTCTGCACAGAAGGACCATTGAAGACATAACATTGTCCGTCGCATTGTTCGCCTGAAGCGTCCTGGGTGGGCCATGTAAAGCTCTGGCCAGAATCCCCCTTGTACCAGGCTGGGCAGTATATCTGGGTTGGGTCCTGGCAAACAGGGCTTCCCAGGGTGTAGACACAGAAAGCTAGCCCCCCACCTGCCCTAGGCCCTCCTACCCCCATGCTAGGATTTTATGGGCATAAGGCTCCATTGTCCCAACACTAGCGGGGGCGGACTCTTCAATTCGGCCTTGGCCCTATGTTGGAAGTTGGGAAATTCCCAGCCGCAGGGAAGGGCCTCCCAGGTGTCTTGTACCCCAACTCCATGAGGTGGGTTCCTGGGGAATCTCCCACTGCCTGGAGCTGCCCTGGGCTGGATCTCAGCCATCACTTATCCTTGAGAGCAACTGTGTGAGGGGAGCCAGGGATTCAGTTCCCTGGCCCTGTGTCTTCCTGAGCTCTCCCAACCTGAGAAGACAGTCCCCCTGTTACTACCCATGGATAACTGCAGCTCCCCCAAAAGCCCCAAGATCCTGGTGTTGGGGTGGGCTCTTTTCAGCCTGTGGGGACTGCCCTGAGGTTGATCTGCCCCACTTGAATATTTGCTCAGGCTACTGATGAGGTGGTATCCATGGAATTTTTAACTCATCTGGGAGGGGGGTTGTGCATGAACAGCTGGGAGAGAAAGAGAGACAAGCTCTGAGGGAGAGGCCTGAAGAAGGAAGGGTATAGGGAGACCTGGGGAGGAGCCAGGCAGACAGCCCCTCCCCCAGTCCCAGAAGCCCAGATGTCAGGTATAGAGTGGGAAGGGGGCCATTTCCAGGATTAGAGCTACAGCCTCTGAAACTGCAAGGGCTGCAGGGCTGGAGAACCCCTCACCCTGTTACAGAGCTGCTCTTTACTTGATGTAAGTAAAACCTTCCACACCCCTTGAGGTACTTCGGAGTCATTCGCTTTCTCCAAGACCCAAAGGGCCAAGTCCATCACCAAAGCTAGAGAACACAAACGCTGACTCCTAACTAAGGTAAAGTCATCTAGGTCCATTGTAACGCTGAGGATCAGGGACAAGGCAGGGTCACGACTGCAGTTTCTCCTTACTGAGGTCCAGACCCACTCCTAAACAGTCCTTGTGTCTACTGCCCTAAAAGAGATCCTGGACACCCCCTGCCTTGCTTGTGTGTCTGCATTCTCCCAAACCTACATTGGGTGCCCAGAAGGGAAGGTAGTCCGTATCACCCAACCAGAGAGGACTTTCAGCCAGCTAGGCTCTATGTGCAGCTGTGTGACAGCAAGTGTGTCCATGCCTGCTGGCCTTTCCACTCCTTAGTCACATGATAGTGGGCACCAGTGTCCAAGGGTCAAGATCATGGATCCCTGTATCTGGGTCCAGAGCAACTGTTCTTTTCTACCTTAGTTTCTCCCCTGGTAGGAGAAACAAAAGTTGGGAGAGAAATCAGTTTGATATGCCCTTTCATCACCTCTCTCTCTGATTTCGGTGAGGGTGGAAGGAGTCTAGGCCTGGGGAGGTGTGTCTTCCCCAGTAGGCCCAGGACATTGGAAGGCCTTCCTGCAGGCACTGCATGTCCTTTCTCCCTGTGCTGGGTCCCTGCTGCCCTCCTCCCCACATACAGAGGGGAATCAAGAGCTATGCAGAGCTCTGGAGCTATAGAGGACGTGTGATACCCAAGATGGGTAGTGAATGGTGACAGAGGGAAGGGCCTACTGCTCTAGGGCATAGCTCAAGCAAAGTCCTGGGGAAGATGGAGCTGATACACCCCAGAAACAGGGCAGCTGAAGAGCTGGGGTGGGGGGAGTGACCTACCTAGCTGAGCTGGGAAGGGGTAGTGTAAATGCAGGGCTTAGCCAGGGGATCTCCCAGGCTTCAGCACCCTGAGTTAGGGGATGGAGAGGTGGGGCTTACAGATGAGAGGCTGGGGTAGGAGTGGCTGACAGGCCTCCCCTCTGGGGGAATCAACCTGAGGGCAGGGTGATGGGGTCAGACTCTAAGCTAGGATTGAAGAGGCCACCATGAAGGGTCTCCTAACCAGGCTGTCCAGAGCTGAGAAAGTAACAGGAGTACCCATATGGGGTAGCCCCACTGCCAGTCAGACCTACTCCCACAAATTGCTGTGGAGAAAGTAAAAAGATCTGAGTGGGTCAGTCTCCTCCCAGGGACTGCTGGTGAGCAGTAGTGTCAGGATCCAGCCTAGTGCTACCAAGGAAATTGACCCCTAAGGCAACTGGACCACCACCAGAGTGATCTGGAACCCTCCTACCAGCACTCAGGGGAGGCCCTTCCCTAGAAGAGTAAGGGAATGCAGCCTTTATGTTAATATATGTTAATGAGCATAGAGGTTGCCCAAGTCCCCTTTTGCAGCATTCCCTGCACCTCCCTCTCTCAAGGCAAGCTCTGAAAAGGCAGGCTCCGCCCCCAGCCCCCTCTCCTCCTGCCCCACCCTGCTGGGCAATGAAGAAAACAGGAGTGAGTGAAGAGCTGTGATGTGGCTGGTGGTGGCTGGGGCACCTCCCTCCCAGAGGGGCTGACCTCAGTCTAAGAGGAATGTGCAGGAGGCGGGGGGCGGAGCAGGGTGGGGGGAGGGCCACAGCCAGAGGCCCTGGGTTCCGGGGGAGGCCCTTCCCTCAGCCCCTCCACCTCAGCTCTGACATGGCCCTCAGAAGGGAAGGGGAGCAGGCAAGGAGGAGAGGGCTGATCTTTCCAAAAAGGTGGGCCAGGGTCCCCTAGGGACATGGAGACCAGGCTGGTGGTGGGTGGGGGAAGTGTCCTAAGAGATCCCTCCCCAGGAGACGCCCTCACACCCAGTAGTAGAGAGTCAGGAGATTTAGATCTTAGGTGATACCTAGGAGAGACTGGTCATTTTCCAGGGCCTTCTCCCCAGCCCCTCACCATGCCTGAGTCCTCCTGATAGAATGCCCTGGTGCCCACGTGGCCAGAACTGGGAAATGTGTTGTTGGAGCCATTCAACCTTAATGGTTACAGCAGGTGTGAGTGGGAAGCCAAAGACCCGATCCAGCTCAGGCTGGACATTGAGAGGGCTGGCACAGCCTTTCACAGATGGGCATTCTACCCCAACTTCACCACCAGGCCAAGGGCAGGGGGGCAGGCCAGCTGGTGATGAGGGGTGGGGAGGCAGGTGCTGGGGCTTGGCACAGTTATTTCCAAAAGGAGAAACCAAGGTCTTGGCAGGCTGTTTACAGGCAACCCCAGGGCAAGAACCCAGGCAGCGCTCTGCCTATGGAAGCCCCAGAAAAAGATAGTGTCTCAGGACCCTGTGGTGGCTCTAGGGCAGGGGTACAAGTAGGATTAGGGACCGTGGCTTCCTCCTCCTGGTTTGTCCCATTCTGTTTAGACCCAGGCCTAACTACCCAATCCCCAATCCAGAATCCTTAGGGATTTACAGAACGCCAGTGTGACCCACAGCCAATGACTCTGCTTCTAAAGCACTATCTCTACGAAGGTCCCCATCCACAGCACAGCACACGATTGGGTGTCAGGTGTCAGAGCCTAGACCTGGGGTTGGGGAGCAGAAAGGAGACCTTGTAGGAATAGGGACAACTTGAGTTCCCACCTCCTAGGGATCCCCTTCCTGCTCAGGGGAAGGAACACATCTGGAGGAGGGAGAACAGTGTGCAGGGCTCAGGTGGGCCATGAGTCCCTTTAGCTGAGGATTGAGTCCCAGGATGTTGGAAAGATGGTGAGGGTCCTGGTCCCATTTCCTAGTAGGGACTCAGGGCTGAGGTGGTGTTGGGGATGGAACCCTGGACCTGCAGTTTGGGGGCAAGCAGGGTGCACAGCAGGGGTGGGTGGAAGCCTACAAAAGGCACTTGCTGATCTTTCTGGCTTGGGTGGAAAATTGTAAACAGCTGAAGAATTTTGCTTGGTTGCAAGGGGCCAGGCGAGGCTACCCAGGTCCAAGAGACAGCTAGCCGTGAAGTAGGAGAGGGCACAGGCCGGATTGCATCCCTCCACTTCTCCTAAAGGCCAGAGCCCAGCATTCAGTCCAGCCCAGGAACACCAGGTCCTGCTGGCTTCAGAATGTGGGGTATTTGGTCATGGATGGCCTTGCCCTTGCTGGGCACAGACACTTCTTCTCCAGGTGGTTTCTCTCACCTTCAATCTAGGTTAGGGGTTTGTGGGTGGGCCTACACCCTGTATCAAAGAATTCAGCTCTACTGTGTCTTCTGGTACTTCCTTCTCTCACTTCCAGCCCATCTATCCCATACCTCCCACCCCACACCTGTGGCTGCCACTGCTGATTGGGTGGCATAAACACCAAGAAGTGATCTAAGTGGTGAGGAAAGATTGGGTCCTGCGGGTCATCAGCCCTCCTTATAAGAACAAATCCTTCTCCGACCTCCAGCCCTCCCATCCCATCTTAGCCTAGAAGCTGTACCCCATTACCACTGCCCCTAGCTCCCCAGCTTTGGAGGGATAGGAGAGGAACCACCTGCTGTGCAGAGCCCCCTGGGGTTGGTAGGGGGTATCTCTGTTGCTTCTACCTCCTTTGCCCTTCTGGCCATCCCTCTTCCAGGACTTCAGCCTGGGCACCCTCCCACCTGGAGGCCTGTCAGGGGAGGGGGTCATCTCTGCCCAGTTCTCCCTATGTGCATGCTAGCTTCACTCTGCAGTCTCTAGCCAGTCCGGGCTGCCTGCCCCCGTCACCTGATCCACCCCTCCACCCCTTAAATTTTATGGCTTGTGAAGCAGCAAAGGCAGCTGGGCTTGTCTTAAAGGAGCCTCAGAGAGTGCCCTAGGCTTTTCCACTCTCCCTAGGCAGGAAGGGGCTTGGATGGGCAGGGGCCACTGCTGGAGTTCTTGGTGGAGTGTGGGAAGGAGATCCAGTGTTTCTTGGCATTGCAGACCTCATGGGCCTGGAAGAGGCAGCGGCAAATGTCAAGGGAAGGAAGGAGAGGCATAGGGGTCTTGGCATGTGAGAGACCCCACAGCTGGGCAGGGTTGTGGGTGGAGGAGTCCGGGACCTGCCCGAGAAGCTGTACTTCTGCTTGATCCTACCCAAGGACCTTTCCACACTCCAGGGCTCCTGAGCCCCTCACCTGCCCTGCCAGCTTTTGGGAAGGAGGGAGGGCATTGCAGCCATCTGAAGGGTCCAGGTAAGGGCTCACACTCAGAGGGATGAGCTCAGAAATGGTGAAACCTAAAGAAAGGCTAAGTAATGGGGGGGGGGGGGGGGGGGGCAGGGGGAGGGAAAGGCTTAGAGGGACTGAAGGCTCTGAGAGGGGAGGGAGGAGCAATTCAGCTGAGATCTGGAAAGTCCTTTAGGTCCTTGGCTCTCCCTACTCCGTTCCTCTAGGTCCTGAGGCCTGACCTCACAGCATCTCTATGTAATCAGCCCCATCCACTCCCTCTGGGGTACTGAGGGAGAGGTCAACTGCAGGGCTGGGGGGATGGCTCAGACTCTGGGAGTTGCCCCAAGTCAGAAGCTAAGGCTTCTGCCCAGCCCAGGGACCTTGGCTCTTCATCTCCTGGGTTTCTCACATGTCTCTCAGGTCTCCCTTTGAGAAATGGGTGTCTTAGAGTTAAAAGGAGTAAATGATGATGTTCACCTGCAAGCCTAGAGACATGCATACACATGTATGTATACCTGCAGGGCACATATACATGAATACACTTGTAGCACAACACACCTGACCCCACACAATGCACAGATAGGTACACACTGTCTAGACAGGCATGTGCCACTCATGTGAACACACACATTTGCAAATGCAAGTGCATGCCGCACACATCTACTACACTGTACATGTCTACAAGTGCACACACACACATATACACAGAAACACATTAATATTCACAGGCACCCACACCCTGGCTCCAGACTCAAAGGTGCCTGTGTTTCTCTGTGGACCTGTAAGCGAACAGCTACCTCCTGGAGGCTGCCCCCTACTTCTGTCATTGTGGCTCCCACCACTGGATGATTTCACTTAGTGCATTTGGCATCTCTGCAATGACTACACCAATCTCTGTGCCCTCCCTCATAGAGTCCTTGTCTGTGTCCCCAAGTATCCTCACTTTTAGTGTCAGGCTGGCATGAAGCAGGCAAGCAGTGTTTTTATGAATTAATGTTTGTGCATGTGTATTTGACGGGAAGGGGTAGCTGAGGAGAGTGACGTGGTATTGGGGCGGACGCCTGTCTCTGTGGGGGTGACCTCTGACCTTGAGGGTGTGCCCAGTGTGGGTGTGTCTGTGATTATGGCCAGGCAGTGCACCCTCCTAGGGGAGGGCTCGGAAGTGGAATGCAATGCGACCCCCCAGCTGTGTGCCCCTAGGAGCTGTAATCTGATCCCTGGGGACTCCCCCCTCTCCTCCCGCCCTCGCTGCCCGACTCCTTCTCTTCCAGATCCCAGGGCGACTCAAGATTCCTTCGCACACGCCTGCTGAACCCTGAGCTACTAGAACCGTCATCGTTGGGATGGGGCGGGCCACTGCCGCCGCCATGATCCCGGGTTTGGCCCTTCTCTGGGCCTTGCTGCAGGGGGGTGCTGCCCTCAGCACCCCGCGCCTGCGGCTCTCCTTCCAAGGTAGGTGCACCTGGCAGGCCAGAGAGCTGAGCTCAGGTTGAGTAGAAAAGGGACCCAGTTGGAGTAGGGTAGAGGGTGTTGTGCTTGCTGTAGTGTGGCTCCTTTTTGTGCCTGTCAATGGACCAGGTTCAAGGCTGATGTGGGAAGACTCAGGTAATTTCCAATTAACACTGTACTGGTTTCTGCCTGCCACCTCTCTGCCTATAGTCTCCTCGTGTTTTCCTATGGCCATAGAATGTGCCTCTGATCCCTCCTCTACCCCCAACCAGATCATACCCCTGCCACAGAAGCTGCAATAAAGTTGAGGTCTGGGGGTGACAGAGTCCCCCTCTACTCCCCACTGCACAGGAGGAAGGTGGTGACTAGGCAGTGGTATCTACCCGGCAATTTTGCTGAGCTCAGGCTGGTGGCTGGTGGCAGGGGGGCGTTCCTCAGTTTGACTTTGGGGTTGGGGTTCTGGCTGTCCCTACATGCCCAGCCTCCCCCGGAACCCTGGCGTCCACAAGCCTGGCCTCCCAGGGTGCCCACACAGAGACACCGCTTGTCCACGCATGCCCAAGCTCAGCTTGCTTCCCCTTCTTGGAGACTGGGCTGCCCACCCCAGCAGCTATGCACATGTACCTGGGGTGGGCCTGACTTTTTGTGTATGAACTCACGCACACACATGTAAACTCACACTGTCCCCACTTTGCAGAGCTCCAGGCCCGGCATGGGCTTCGGACCTTCCGGCTGGAGCGAACTTGCTGTTATGAAGCCCTGCTGCTGGATGAGGAGCATGGGCGCCTGTTTGTGGGTGCTGAAAACCATGTGGTCTCCCTCAGCCTGGACAACATCAGCAAGCGGGCCAAGAAGGTACCAGAGACCCCTAGCCTCAGTGCTGCCTAGGGAAAGAGCTCAGGAACCCCTCTCCAGGATGTCTGGAGGGGTTCCGTGGGGTGGGACCTGAGTGGAGAGACCCTGACTTGTGCTCCTCTCCCCACCATAGCTGGCCTGGCCGGCCCCTGTGGAATGGCGAGAGGAGTGCAACTGGGCAGGGAAAGACATTGGGGTGAGTAGCGGCTGCCTAGGCGGGGAATGGGGAGGGTCAGCCCCTCACTCTATCGACAGTGAATGCTGCTAAATCAGAGGCCTGGGGTGAGGGCAGGGGCTCTAGGTGGCTGAGATCTTGAGGTGTTGAAACATGGTGGTCTGAGAGTCATGGGGTCTATGCAGGCCTACGATTCTCCATGTACCCACACTGATGAGGGTAAGCTAAAATGGTCACCAAGGGCATCTGGGTGTCTGTAACCTAGGCTGGTCCTTAATGGAGCTGATGCAGAAGGGAGGAAAGGGCTGGGTGCCACTGGTTAGATGGGACTCCTTGAAACCACTTCCCTGGGGAGGAAGCCTCACTGCCCATACCTGCCCACTAGACTGAGTGTATGAACTTCATAAAGTTGCTGCATATCTACAATCACACCCACCTGCTAGCCTGCGGCACTGGGGCGTTCCATCCGACCTGCGCATTTGTGGAGGTGGGCCACCGACTGGAGGTAAGGCCAGACCTAGGCAGAGAAAAGGGGGGCAGGAGGTAAGGAAGGGCGTGGCAGTAGCAACTCTCCTCCTACCTCCCAGGAGCCTGTGCTTCGTTTGGCCCTTGGAAGCCTAGAGGATGGCAAAGGGAAGAGTCCATATGACCCCAGGCATCGGGCTGCCTCCGTGCTGGTGGGTGAGTCCAAAGGCTGGGACCCCAACAGACTTCCTGGAATCCTCAGAGACTCTAGAACCTCATGAAGTCCCAAGAACCCCCTCACAGCTACTTGACTACCCCAGATGTTATCTAGGACCACCCACTTCAAGGACCCTCAGCCTGACTGAGCAGCCCTTGCCCTGTCCACAGGGGAGGAGCTGTACTCGGGGGTGGCGGCAGACCTCATGGGCCGAGACTTTACCATCTTCCGAAGCCTGGGCCAGCGGCCGAGTGTCCGCACAGAGCCACATGACTCCCGATGGCTCAATGGTGAGAGGCTGGTGGGCCAGGAAAAAAGGGGCCCTCACTGCCCTATGGGGCAGATTCCAAGCCAGGCAAGGCTCATGAAGTGAGTGAACAATGGGCACAGCCAGGTGTCACTCCACGCCTACTGTGTGCCAGGTCCAGTGCCAGGTGCTTAGAACACAGTGGCAGACAAGAAAGGTAGGCGAGTGCCTTCTTTTGAGTTCACAGACTGAAGAACAAGTATATAAGACCAATTCAAAGGACCTTGAGGCTAAGGAGAGAATAGAGAGGAAGAGAAAGGAGATTGGGTGGAGAGCAAAGACAGATGTGAAGTAACTATACCAAAGCAAAAGAGAACCATTCAGCAGGATTGAGGGGAGAGCATTCCAGTCAGAGGGAGCAGCTAGGGAAAGGCCCTGAGGTAGAAACATGCCAAGGAACAGGCTCATAGAGGGAACAGTGGAAAGAAGTTAACTTTGAGCCAGGGTAGTTTATTCTGGGAGCAGTGGGACCCAGGATGTCGGTTTTCAGCAGAGGTGGAACATCTGCTTCCTGGTATGGAGGATTCACAAGTGAAGGAGAAGGAAGAGAAACTGAATCCCCATCTCCTTCCCTCCCTCCCAATACTGATCCACTGGACTGGGTAACACTGAGGGGTTAAATCAGAGGCCTCCCAGGGAGCCTTTCCTAATGCCAGATAATCCCAGTCTCTGCTGCCCTCTTGTGGCATCTTCTTGCCTTGCAAGCCCTGCTTTGAAGCAAGCCCCAACAGAACTGTCTGGCTTCAGCCAGTGTAAGGGGAAGGGAGGGATCGGTTTCATCTTTAGGACCAGGATTGGGGAGAGACAGATGGTTGTCTGGAATCTATTCTTATCCCTTGCTTCCTACTGCTTCCAGAGCCCAAGTTCATTAAGGTCTTTTGGATCCCAGAGAGCGAGAACCCAGATGATGACAAGATCTACTTCTTTTTCCGTGAATTAGCGGTTGAGGCGGCTCCAGCACTGGGACGCCTGTCCCTGTCCCGCGTGGGCCAGATCTGTCGGGTAAGGAGTCCTTGGGGCCACACCCAGCATCCCCGTCTAACCCTTTTGTCCTCCTGGGGCTCCACCAATCCCCTCTCTTTGTTCAAAGAATGATGTGGGGGGCCAGCGCAGCTTGGTCAACAAGTGGACAACCTTCCTGAAGGCGCGGCTGGTGTGTTCTGTGCCAGGCATTGAGGGTGACACCTACTTCGACCATCTCCGTGAGTGCACAAGTAGAGGGGTGAAGTGGGGGAGGGGGCTGAGGCACACCCCTGGAGCTCCCCCCTCAGCCAGACTGCTTCCCTGCAGAGGATGTGTTCCTGCTGCCCTCAAAGGACCGCCAGAGCCCTCTGCTCTACACTGTCTTCTCCACATCCAGGTCAGACTGGGCAGGGGAAGGGACACCAGGGAATGAATGGGTGGGCTGGCCTCCCAAGGCACTCCCCTCACTCCTCTCTGGTCTACACCTGCAGCAGCATCTTCCAGGGCTCTGCAGTGTGCGTGTACAGCATGAGTGACGTGCGCCGAGCTTTTCTGGGACCGTTTGCACACAAAGAGGGACCCATGCACCAGTGGGTGCCTTACCAGGGCCGTGTCCCCTACCCAAGACCCGGCATGGTGCGTGGCCCAGGAACTTGTGACTTCTTCCACAACCCACTTCAAAGCCTTAGGGTTGGAGAACTTGGCCTGGGGTCTTCTTGGTGAATGTGGTTTCTTTTTTCTTTTTTGTTATGAATGGGAAAGGCTGTGGTTATCATACAGGGTTCCTCATGGAAGGCCATGTTTCCTTCTTCAAGACTTTCCAGGGCTGACTGGTTCTTCCCTCTCAGATCCCCAGGGCAGGGCTCTATCTCCTACCTACCATACCAGGCTGCCACAGCCACATCTCTCCTGTACCCCTATTCCCAGTGTCCCAGCAAGACCTTTGGCACCTTCAGTTCCACCAAAGACTTCCCAGATGACGTCATCCAGTTTGCGCGGAACCATCCCCTCATGTACAATTCAGTTCTACCCATGGGGGGGCGCCCTCTCTTCCTGCAAGTGAGCTCTGGGTACACTTTCACCCAAATTGTTGTTGACCGAGTAGCAGCTGCTGACGGACATTACGATGTCCTCTTCATTGGCACAGGTGAGTTCTCAATGACTACTTACAGGACCTCATGAAGGCCTTTTGGGCTGGTAGTGGAAGCTTTTCCTGTAAAGACCCACCTCCACATCTTTGCCTGGACTGTGCTCTCCCAACATCTCCTGGATGTTACCCTGATTATGTTGTTATTGTTGTTAAGTGCCGTGGAGGGTTCTGACTCACAGCGACCCTGTATGGGTTTCCAAAACCTCATCTTTCTCCTGCAGAACACCTGGTAATTTTGAACTACTGACCTTGTGCTTCGCAGGCCAGTTTGTAACCACTACGCTACCAGAGCTCCTTTTTATACCAGCCCTGATTATAGGAATCCACAAACTCATGGTGAGGGTGGAGGCTTCAAAGTCAAGAAGACCCCCAGCCCTGACAGTAAGCAAACAGGGGGAAATCATCCTTCTCCTCCCTGCAGACACTGGCACAGTGCTGAAGGTAATTTCCGTCCCCAAAGGCAGCCGACCTAACTCTGAGGGACTACTCCTGGAGGAACTGCAGGTGTTTGAGGTGAGGCTGCTCCCTGGTTGCCCTGGTTCGCCCCACCCCACTGAGCCCTGATCCTTGCATCCCTCCTCCCACTCAGGATTCAGCCGTTGTCACCAGCATGCAGATCTCCTCGAAGAGGGTGAGTGACCCGAACGGTGAAGGGGTGGGATGAATTGAGTGCCAGACGCCCCACCCCCACGTTCGCCTTGGTAGTTCCAAAGCTTTGGGTTCCGGTATAGGTTCATCCTTGGCTAGACCTTGAGACCTGAGTGTTCCCACCTGGCAAGTGGGAGAAGGATCCCTGACTGGTGGGAGGTGGGCATGGAGCCACCCTCGGTCAGCCTGGAGTCCCTTATGTCTCCCAGCACCAGCTGTATGTAGCTTCCAAGAGCGCGGTGGCCCAGATCTCGTTGCACCGCTGTGCTTCCCATGGTCGCGCCTGCGCGGAATGCTGTCTGGCTCGGGACCCCTACTGTGCTTGGGACGGGGCCACGTGCACGCGCTTCCAGTCCAGTGCCAAGAGGTGGGCTGGGTGGGGCTGGGCTGGGGGGCACGCTGCTGGGTGGGCTCTAAGGGTCTTTTACTGCCAAGGTGGAAAAAAGGACTCACTGAGGCTCCAATATTCCTACCAGGCGGTTCCGACGACAAGACATAAGGAATGGCGATCCCAGCACCCTGTGCTCCGGAGGTTAAGTGTCCCAGCTATCTCTACCCCTCTGCCTCAGAAGACGGTCTGCCTCACCCGGCCTGAATCTAACATTCTCCTCACCTCCAGACTCATCACGCCCCAAGCTACTGGAACAGAAGGTGTTCGGCGTGGAGGGGGGCAGCACCTTCCTAGAGTGTGAGCCCCGCTCTCTGCAGGCCCACGTGAACTGGACTTTCCAGCGCGTAGGAGAGGCGGCCCGAACTCAGGTGAACCTTGCTTTGCCCTTCCCAACCCACCTCCTGTCCCGCCCCCACATCCAGCAGAGACCCTGCCCAGGCTACGGAGGCTCTTACCTACCCTTCACATCTGTGTGAGGGCCCGCCTTAAGAAGCCGAGTAGGAGTAGTCATTCCTTTCTGTTTGAGCCCCCTACCTGCATACTATGTCCAAACGACGCACCATCCTATTCAGTTTAGACGCCTAACTACCGGACATCCGGGAGAAGCCCCACCCCACCCACTGAGGTCTCTGGCCCATCTTCCACACTCAGGTGAACCCTGTCTCGTTCTAATCTTCACACCTGCAGACCACTGGCCCTGATGTATGCAACCTTCAAGTATACACCTTCGAGTACCCCTTTTTCACCCAGCCCCCATGCTCCTTTGCCTCACTGCCCCTTGATCAGGCAGGGGAACCCTCTTCCAAGTCCCTGACGCCCCTGTCTCATGCCTACCTTTCCCGCAGGTGCCAGTAGAGGGGCGTACGGAGCACACAGCACAGGGATTACTGCTGCGCCGGCTGAGGCGCCAGGACTCCGGCGTATATCAATGCGCTGCTGTCGAACAAGGCTTTTCGCAGCCGCTGCGTCGCGTAGCGCTGCATGTACTGAATGCTGCACAAGCTGAGCGGTTGGCACGGGTCGAGGAGACTATGCCTGCCGCGCCACCCGGCCCTAAACTCTGGTACAGGGACTTCTTGCAGCTGGTGGAGCCCGGTGGTGGCGGTGGCCACGGTGGTGCTCACTCACTGCGCATGTGTCGTCCGCTTTCCGCTTCTCGCCCACAACCTCCTGAGCCGCAGAGGAAGGGCCGTAACCGACGGACACATGTCCCAGAGCAGCGCGCTGAGCGGGGCCCACGCAGTGCTGCGCACTGGTGACCAGGCCTTCCCCATGCTGGGGAGCAGACTGGAGATGATGGGCGGGAGAGGGGAGGACACATCCTGGGTCGCAGAAACTGAGAAGTCCGGGCCAGGTACATTGCGGTCCCTAAAGGACCAAGACACCAACTGACAGGCCCTGGCCGAGGGGCAGCGCACAGGCTTATTTATTAACAGATAACCCTTGAATGTACCCCCAGGAAGGGCGGCCCAGGCCGGGTGCAGACGTCCTCCGGTCCGGAGAGGACAGCAAAGCGGGGCTTCAGAGCAACCATTGGAGCCAGGGAGGTGCCTCGAGTGCCTACCCCAAGGGAGGAATCCCTTCCTTGGGCAGCGAGCAGGAAGCTGTGAACAGGCCAGGCTGTACTAAAGTAATGCAATAAACATTATCAGCCTACGCTGGAACTGCAGCAGTGGGCAGCTACTAGTCTTAGGATTTTCCGTGTGACCACGGGGACACTTTGTTAGCACTCTCAGAACCTGTTTATCCTATTCAAGTTTAGGGTGGGTGGTTTCCATGTAATTGAGTGGTATTTGTAGGGCCTTTGGGGATACTAACATGCACAGTAGTACATTTTGAGTAATTTCAGGGCCAAGTGCTATGGGAAAAAAAATGGGTGATATGGTAGAGTGTGAGAAGGTTTCACTGAAGGGGTGATATTTAAGATGAAGGAAAATGAGTCAGCCACGGAATGTCTGGAAGAAGAACGCTGCAACAGGAGGGAACAATCAGTGCAAAGGCCCTGAAGTAGAAACAAGTGTGCCTTTTAAAAAAAAACAAAACACATTTTATTGTTGACAGTTTACAGACAAGATCATCAGCTTTACAGTCAACAAATCATACTGTTTCATCTCAATGATTGCAATCCTCTGTGCAACAAGTTATCTCATTTCATGTGGTTCCTATTTCCATTCCACCCGCCTTCACATCCCTTCTCAACTTTTCTCTTAATGTTGCCCTTTTGATTTTAAATGACTGACCATTCCATGGTGAGCATACCTTACCAGTTGTTGTTGTTGTTGTTAAGTGCCATCGAGTCGGGTCCGACCCATAGCGACCCTGTACAGGGTTTCCGAGGGTGTAAATCTTTACGGGAGT